ATTAAAACAACTTTAAGCTTGTCTTTACATATCTCTCCTACCCTCCTTTACTTGTTTATAAACTCCTTTGAATAAAAACTTGAGTTTCTAATGACCTAAAAAAACTCAAGTACATATTTCCTATACTAAAGACAAGAAGATTCTAGGAAGTAAAAGGAATGACAAGTGAAGTGTCACCTTATAGAGTTGGAAGTGACAAGAAATAGTGATTCTATTGGTAAAAAAGATTTATTTTCCATTTTTTCACATACTATCTTATATCTTCTTAAAGTGTTTACTGTTTTTCATATGTTTCTTAAGGAATTTTGCCTATCTCAGTTTGATCCTGAATTTTTAATAACACAATGTCACTTGATATCTGATTGGTTGACACAAAACATATTAGTAACTGAATGTAAACAAGCTCCTATTGGTTATTTTACATATTTCGATGATGTCATTGATGCTTGAAAGAGAAATCAAGAATATGAACTCTTCCACTCCTTTAAATAAAGTTTAACTGAAGTAAAGAAATCATGAGACCATTAGAATGGGTACTAAATTCCTTAGATAGTGAAAAAGTAATTATTTGTTTAAGCTGAGGCTTTCAACTTCTTATTATTCTGATTAAATAAAATATGCGAAAGATATTATTTCTTTATTCCGGTCAGGCTATAAAAATAAAAAACGGAGGAATGTAAAATATTGCCCTTTTTTAAGATTAAAAATATATTTCTCCAGATATTGTGTAATAATATTACAATTAAGATGAACATTAGTAAAATTCTTTTAACTAGACATAACTGCTAGAAGATATCAGGAGTTACTTAACAAGATTAAAAAGTCATATAAGAACCTGGGTCCACTATTAGTCATCTTATTCTGCATAAATGAATACAAAATCAAGACTGAAAAAAAGGAAGCATTAAGCAAGACATTGGATATGAGAGATGATAAGTACCTTAGATGATCACAAGAAAATAATTAAGAACATGGATGGATAAGTTTCCCAAACAGTCAGAAAGAAGAGGGATATCCTAGAAGGATTGATTTCTAATGAGAAGAGGTTTTTAGTAAATATTCTTTAAAGGATATGAAGCATTTTAATTTTCTTTTTTCTTTTCATTTTAATATAGTATATTTGCATATTTTTAGATATTTTTCTTTTCTCTTATTTTTTCTTTCTCCATTTGTAGTTTCTCGAATTCAGTTCCTTGGATGATAATAAGCAATGACAACTTACTGACAATAATGGATAAGTTAGGAGGGTCTTCATCCAAAACTTAGTTTAGAGTAAAATATTATTCTCAAGGTTGCACTTAGAGGCTGAACCTCTTTTGAGAATTGAAAGCCATTGACGAGTATGTCAAAGCAAGTCTTTTAATTTAGTCATGATGCAATTATCTTATGTATCTCTATCAGTTTTCTTAATGATTAATAAATATACAGTACTGACCTGATCACAGGTTAAAAAAAAAATTAATTTATTTTTTTTATAGTTTTTTGTATTTTAGTAACTTAATATATAATAATAATAATTTATTGATCATAACATATAAATTAAAAAATTTTTATTTAATATCTATTATAAAATAAGATATTGTTTTTAAGATCAAGTTTAAAAATTATTATTGTTTATAATAAGTTAATTAAACTTGATCTCAATTTATATTATATTGTAGTTTGAATATAATATATGTTGCATATTACTTAAATAAATTATATTTATATATTCAATTAATTAATAAACTAAAATCAAATTAGATTATAAATATTGTAATAATAATAATAATAATATAAACTTAATATTGTTATATTTTAATATTATTTAATATTTAAAATATTAATTTTTATACTATATTAAAATTTTTGAATATTTTAAATATATTAAATTATTTATTATTTCCTATTAATTATTAAATTAAAAAAAAAATTTTTTTTTTTAAACAAGAATCAATTTATTTTATTAATTGCAAATTTTAATTAAGTTTATTGAATTTTTTTATACTGTAAAATTAAAATGTAATTATGTTTTATATTACTATTAAAAATAATATAATTTTTATTATAAAATAATAAAATATCAAGTATTTAGATATAAATTATATAATAATACTATTATAACATAGCAATATAAATTAAAACGGCAATAAATAAAGAAATGCTAATAATTAATGGCTTTTTCTTAAATAAAGTATCATGTATATATTATATAATTATATAATATTGATATTATTCGTTATCAACTTTTGACAATTCAATTATTATAATATTTAAATGTACGATAATGGTTTTTTTTTTTTCATTTGAAAAAATTTTTATATTCGCATAAATAATCTTGTTTATTCAGAGATATTATTAAAATAATGATAATCAAAAATTGGAAAAGTAATCGGTGCCTGATTTTAACGTTTACGTTCTAAAATCGATGAATCGAATAGTTTCATATCTGCTACGGTTTTTTTTAAGACCGTCCATCAGTCCAACAATCAGGTAACTTTGAGAATGCTTATCAGTCAGTAAATACATTTTTTCAGGTCTTGATCTATTTTTTTTTTTTTAATATACAATATATACACTGTTGCATTTTATTATTTTATTTTATTTTATTTATTTATTTATTTATTTGGAATGAGGAAAGCCTTTTATCATTAAAATTGCATGTTCCTTGTCCTTAATATCGTAACATTACGTAACTGCGCATATGTCCGCCGTACGTTAATTTGGTATATGTAAGAAGAGCATAAATAGCTTATTACGTATTGAAATGACGATTCATCAAATCGGAAAATTAAGCGACGTTCGAAAAATCGAGCATATCATACATACAGAAAACGATGCAGCCGCCATTAGTAGGTTTTGTACTAGATATCTTATCGTAAATCTGCCTGCCGTGTTTCATCAATAATCTCATCATCGGTAAATCGACAAATATCACTCCGTCCAAGGAGCATGTTTATTTTTATCAAGACGGTTTCGAAAGTCGCCAGGCCGGAGTAATTGAGTAAATGCTAACAAATGTTTTAATACGTCTTTTGAAAATACATGTGTAAATCATCGTAGCCGAATGACTAACGTGTGAATTTCATATGCCAATAGTACACAAAGAATTTCTCGTTTTTAAACAATGAATAAGTAATACTTTTAAGTTAAAATCTTTTGCGCGATATGGGTTTGGACCTCAATTATTACACATAATATATATAATGTATGCTAAGCGCCTCTGCAAATAACAATCAGACTTAGGGGTTGCCTCCGTGGAATTTAAGGCAAATTCGAATCAATTCAAAAGAAAAAAATAAAAACCTACAGTGGCTTAGCCGTCAGTTACGTAATAAGTTGGAAACGAGAATTTATTAGAAACAATGGAAAGTATATTCCAAGATCTTTTATTCGTAAAGAGGAGGAAGCGCTTTGGTGAAATTCTTTTTCTTTGTTGAAGATAAATATTCGAACTCAAATTGCAGATAGTACATTTCTGGCCATTGAAACAAAAAATACGTATTTTCTTTCTATTTGATATTAAAAAAAAAAAAAAAAATTATCATCTTATGATCATTGTGATCTGGAACGAGTCACCTTTCCGTCAGGTCACCATAGTAACTGCGGTTACACTGAATTTCTATATTTGGAGGATTTTAGGTTTGATACAAGATATTTTTTTATACTACAAAAAAAGATGCGTCAATGAATTTCATCTTTGCCGGTTGTTATTGGTGGATTTTCCCTGTTCTCATAATTTTAATAACTTGTTAGCATTTATTTTAGAGTCCTTTTCGATAATAAAGGCGATCAAAAAAGTAAAGTTCTATATTTAAAATAACAGGAACATTAAGGATATTTGATCCTAAGGTTCAAACACAGACTTCAATGGAGAATAATCCCCCTTCTCCTGATTATTCCCCTATCCTTGTTTTAAAGGAACAGTCGAGTATCCTCATTTTTTTCAAATAGTAAGGGTTGAACCAGAATCTGCACGATGGTGAACTAGGTACACGAAATTCTATCTTTGAGGTTCGGCATTCAATCAATTTATCAAAACGAGTTTATCTTCATTGCCATGGACATGGACACTAGAATCTCAGAAGAGGTGGCTTTTGCTTAGCGGGCATTTAATTAGAGGGAAACAAGAAAAACAGTGCATCATACATTTACATGCATTTCAAGCTGTTTACAACTTATTGAAGCACCCTGCGAATCTCTCGCTTTAAAATGGTAGTTTCATCGTGTTATTTAACATTTATGGCGAAGAGCTATATCTTTATCCCTTTAGCCACTCGAATTAATTGTTTTTAAAAAAAAAAAAAAAAAAAACAATCATTTTCTTGATTTATTTCCTTTTAAATTTCTTTAAGAATGAACGGGCATGCATGATACCTGTATATCCACTCATTGTGATAAATGAACAAGCGGGAAAGAGTATGAATGAATCGAGTATTATAATGAAATAATTATCATTACGATAGCCTCTGATATTTGGGAGATTTCTAGTTCGCTTGTAAATACGCCTTGATTGTTTTATTTAGATTACTCCTATTAGAATTCCCGGAATTTGAGATACAAACTGCGCTGAGTTGGCGCTAACCATAATAATAAAATAATTTTTCTGCGTAGAATCGGAAGATTGTTTGTACAAACACTAAAGACAAAAAAAAAAAAAAAAAGACGCCGATTCGACGACCAAACTCAAAAGAAACATTCAAAAAGTGTAGACACGAGCCTTATACATGCATATACATATAAATTTGATTTCATTTCCTTGGTCTATATTATAATTCTATAAATTGTACAAAAGGTATAATTCAATTCTTACAGCATGTGAAAGAAATATATACAAAAAAAATATGCTTTTTATTTTGCGAATTCGCGAGCAGTCTAATTATTGATTGTAGTGATGGTGGATTTAAAACAAGTATTGAATGATAATGTAATATTAAATCCATTTAACCTGTTGAAAGAATTCCCATAATTTACTAGCTTTATTTACATCAATTCGGAGTAATTTTTGCGCATCACTTTTTCGAAAAGGAAGCGATCGTTGAGCGTAACGTTGAGCGGCTGAAACCAATGTGTTTTTGGCGGTCAAATATTGCACAGGAGTGAGACGTAATGTAGATGCCACCATGATTTCTTTGGGATGCAAAGCGTTAAAATGGGGTAAATGAGAAATGGATAGGGGTTGGCCTTTCCACGTAATTTTTGGTGTGATATCATTTAAGATTTCCATATCTAGATGCATATTATTAATATTTTCAAACAGCTTTTCCCATTCCATTGGTGGTGGCGGCGGAAGGCGAATGGATTTTACATCATCGGAGTTAGCCGTGTCGAACGATGTTTCCAAAAGACCCCGATCCGCCATCACTCTGGAAAGACTATTGCTCTTTCTTTTACGTTCCACGGTTGGAAGTTTGGAACCTTTTGTTTTAATGTGTCCTCTACGCTGTTTCTTTTGAACAAACAAAGTTGGGCTAGAAGGAGGGGTTGAATCAGAAGAGGATGATAGAGAGGTCAAAGAAGGTGTGCTACATCCAGATAAAGGATGAAGGAGTGATGATGATGGTGGTGGTGGTGGATTATCACTGCGTAGAAGGGCCATTGGATTCTCTTTAAAGGGTGTAAAGACATCAAGTTTAAGGGTGATGCCCGGTGATGATTTAGAAGGAGATTTGATTGGATAAGGATTTTTACGAGGACGGTGCGAAGTTCCGATATTGATCCTGTGACTATGATGGATGTTCACATGATCACGATTACTGTGATGAGAGGGTTTCGATTTGGAAACATTGGTAGTTTTAATTTTAACTTCGTTTGTCTTCTTGTTCTTTATTTCCGAGTTTTTGATCAAATCTAAAAGCTCCGGTGGAATTTCTGATACAAACATTCGAAATTTACTTTTTGGGTTGGCAATTTTTTCAGGCTGTGGTGGCTGTGATGTTGGTATTGCTTGTTTTTCGGTGCTACCTACTGCATCGGTAGACGAACTCTCGCATACTATCGTGGAAGGAATCACATTAGAGTGCTCTGGTGGAGAAGGTGGTGGAGATATCATGGATGAAGTAAAAGGGATTTGTTGGGATAGATTGGTCATTGTTCGTGGTTCTCTCAAAAAATAAATAATGAACAGTTTTGTCGACAAAAGAATTTTGCTTGCGCGTAGACTAGGCTTCGGGTTAGACGAAGTCAATGAACTTCTTTTTTTTAAAAATAAAAATTGAAATATCGTGTTTGAAGAGATAATAAAAGAATTTTTAATGAAGTATAATTTACAAATGGTTATGAATTGATCTTGAAAATTTTCTGAAGAGAAAAAAAAAAAAGATGAAAAGAAAAATTTTGAAGGAATGGATCTATTTTTATATAAAAATTTTTAAAAGCGAGACAATATAATCGGATATACAATAATCAAATGCAGTGTTTTTTTTTTTTTTTTTTTTTTTTACAGTACTTTTATTTTTTATAAAATATACTCTTAATTAGCTTGTACTTTTGATTGGTTGTTATTTCTCGAATTGTACTATCAATCGTTAACATCACGTCACTTACGTTTTCCTATGTTCATTTAT